CTTAACTGCTGGTCCAACCAGAACTAAACAGAGACATTTATCTTTGTTTCTTGAGGAATGCAAGACTTTGTAGAAGAGACCTTTTGTATTCACCCAATTTCAAACTACACAAACTCCCCCCCAACTGAGAGTATTATTTACATTAGGAATTCTAAATACAGTATTTGTTTATTGAGACCCTTGCAAAAATATACTGCCTGCATGGACTGTGATTAATCTATGTAGCTGCAGCCAGGACACTTTTCTCTTCACGTTAGAAGAAAAGTCATTTCCTGTCAATCTGTGCCAGGTTCAGAGAGTGGGAGTCTTTGGAAATGCAGGTTGGGCTAAAAATAAAATGGAAATGATAGTTTTGCACACAGAGAATGAAAGTCTGGAAACAATTTCAGGCTTGGGATGAAAACAACCACCCTGATCTTCTACAAAACACAGTTGCGCCAATCCAGGTAAGAAGAGCCACGTATGGCAGCAAATCTCTCTCCTCTTATTATTTGCCAGATGACGGTCCATGAATAGAAACTGGTATTGCATTTTGTATGTCTGTTTGAATCTGCATCATAATGTGGGTGTTTTTTGCTTGTTCTGTATGATTGCTACTTTGGATGCACTCCCCTTTCTATTCTGAGGAGACTAGTCGGTTGATCAAGATTTTAATTAAGCATTATCAATAGAAATGGAACAGAGATGGTTGTTGTGGGTTTTTCGGGCTCTTTGTCCGTGTTCTGAAGGTTGTTCTTCCTGACATTTCACCAGTCTCTGTGGCCGGCATCTTCAGACCTTTTGTGTTCCCACAGCTATAAATACTCAGCTGTCCAACAAACAGCAACACAGCATGCACAGAGTTCCTGCTCCTGTCCTCTGAAGATGCCGGCCACAGAGACTGGTGAAACGTCAGGAAGAACAACCTTCAGAACACGGCCAAAGAGCCTGAAAAACCCACAACCACTATCAGATCCTAGCCGTGAAAGCCTTCAAGAATATATGGAGCAGAAATATTAGCACTTAATCCCTAGCTTTAGCTCCATGGGTCACCTTGTAACTTTAGTTCTTTATTTAAACTTTTAAAAGTTGGCAGCATAACTCTACATCTGGCCATTTCTTCCTTTCAGTTGCAGGTATGTATTAACTAACACTTTTAGTTGGCATTTTGTAGGATTCTAGCCATGCTGGCTGGGTTTTAATCCCAGGTAGCCGGCTCAAGGTTGACTCAGCCTTCCATCCTTCCAAGGTCGGTAAAATGAGTACCCAGCTTGCTGGGGGGGGGCAATGTGTAGCCTGTATAATTAAAATTGTAAACCGCCCGGAGAGTGCTTGTAGCGCTATGGGGCGATATACAAGTCCAATAAATAAATAAATAAATAAATAGTTCCCAATGTTTTTAAAGTTCTGATTCAAATATATACATTCACCTCAAACTATACAGAATAGACTTTTTTTCTTACTAAATCCTAAGGTTTGCTAAGACCAATCATTAAAGAAACTTAATGAAAATCATTTTTATTAAGGAACTGTACTTTGACTTTGGGTAGCATTAGTTGATGAACTCAGTGTTCGTTCATCAATTTTTTAAAGCTAAATCCATGAACAAAGTTGTTCTTGTAAAATCCACATTCTGCATTCCTATAAGATAAAGAGGAACAGAGATTGCACATATTCAGTCTTTGTTTTAGCACAGTAAATATTTCCATTCTGCTTTTCTAAAAATAGCAATGTGATGAAGCCAATTGGTGACACAACTGAGCTGAAAGTTGGACTTCAGTTTGAAGCCCAGCCTAGCTGCTCCAAGCAACTGATTTAGGACTGGCTCTGCAGTTAAAAAATCAAAAAGCAATGGGATAGCTTTCCTATGGTTGACTGAGGATGAGCAAGACATTTCTTGGCTTTCTATCTTATTGTTGTATTATTAAATTGACACCTTCCAGAAAAATGCAAATCTGAATGTAAGTAGTAGTTAGAAATCTATATATTTTTGAGTTCGTGGTATGTTTCACAGAATGAAACAAACAAAAATGTGTCTAAGCCATGTGTACATTTAGAATTGCACATATTTCAAGAATTAATACCAACACATTATAGTCAATGGGACAAATAAATACATTTGAATGATGTACACATTATGAAAGACAAAGGAAAATACAGTACACACAAATGCCTGTGTGAGCAAAAACACTAAGGTTTAAGTAAGGAAAAAATTTATATAGCAGTGGAAAAATTTGCAAACTGAGTAGGGAAAAACATCGCAATATCCAAGGGGAGGGTTTCAGTCCAAATCCAAAGGAAAAAAAGAACAAAATTGGTTCTTTTAAGCCTGAGGTTCTTCTAAACTGTTTCACCAAAGTACTGACATGTCCCCATACTTTGATTGTATAAGATTTTAAATATGATAATTACTTTCCACTTCTGAGTGCAGACACTTTCAAATACTACTTTGACAATTTTGGTAAATTTTGGTGCTCTTTTCCCTTGTTGTTCCTAGACCACATGGCCAGTCCCATCCTGGGGCAATACGTAACTGGCAGTAAAACTGCTTCAGGTTCCCTTACCTGGCTTAACCCTTTCTTGCCCTGTATGCTGTAGACCATCTTATGGTCACCGTCTTGTCACTGCAAAATTCATTACAGCCCAGCCTTAATGGTCACCTAGGCATACCTTAGCAACAGCTGCTGTTTATCATATGCAGCTGGCCACCTGTGCTAAAATCAGGAGAGCCAGATGAGAGATAGGTGACAAAAATAAAAATATCATACAGGCCTTTCTTTCAGCACTTGTATGACTGTACTGGTGCTGATCAGTCATTCACAAAGTAATGCCATATTTTCCTAATGACAGCCCAACTGATTCATCCTTGCCATGATGCAGCATCACAGACTACAGGTTACTTGTCCATCATGTTATAAGCACAGATTCAGGATCAGGAAACGGCTAATATCACCAGTTAGCTAACTAAGGGTGGTAGTGCTTCTGTGGCTGTCTCATAATTATATTTAAGGATCTTTAAACTAAGAGTACAAGGGAAAATGCCTTGTTTGATTGTTTGGCTGGCATGCAGGCAATTCGGGATGTATTCTTCTTAGTCAGGCCTTGTGGAATCCAGCTTTGCTTGTGGCGTTTGTTATGGGGATTTTGATGTAGTTGGTTGACTGTGATAGTGTGTTTTGTTTATTTTTCTTTCAGTGTCTATAGGTGATTGTAATAGGGCCTTTTATTCCTGCTTGGTGGTTAATCATCATCATTATGTTTTAGTTCTTGGTATGGAGCAAGACTGGTATGGAGCAAGCTGCTGCTTGGCTCGTGTTGCAGTGAGGGCACCAATCAGTAGGACTAGGAGAAGCCCTCTGTTTGTTAATAAATTAGGGACTGTATGATTTAGTCCATCACAGAATCGTACACCTCTTTCTTATTCCTGTGTTGGGTACCCAGAAGATGGGTTGTACATGTTTTCCTACTTAAGCTATGCCCAGGAAAGGAGTCCTGTGGATTTTTCTGTGTGAACAGGTCAGTTTTTCATGACAATTGAGCTGTCTTTGCAATCAAAATTTGATCTATTTGTATAGCTCAGCTAATGCCATGTTTACTTACTGCACCCTAGGAGGTAATAGCTGCAGATCAACAGCAGTTCAGAAAATTGTTGTTTTCAGTTCCAGCTAATGCCATGTTTACTTTCTGCACCCTACTGCAGCAGTTCAGAAAATTGTTGTTTTCAGTTTTAAAACTTACTGTTAGAAAACCATATTTTTTTAAAACAAGGCATTCCCATCCTGCCATCCTCTAAGCACCCAAATTAACACAAAACCATTCATCTAAGCCAAAACACTCTGATATAACTTTTCCTTAAATAGATCTGTTTTATTTTAAAAGGCACATAAAATAAACTCCCAGTGACACCCAGTGGCAGAACAAAACACCTACAACTATGCTGACAAGTAATTTTAAATTAAATCTAAAATCCTTTGTTAATCCCAACTGAAAAAAAAATAATGTTACTTTCATCTAGAGTCAATGGAATTTATGTAACTTTTAATGTATCAGATTCTTATTGAGTCAGTGGTCTACTCTAGTTTGGACTAACAAGTGGATTCAAATTATACAACTAAATCCAATATTGAGATCCAAACTGGAGCAGACCCCCTGAGATTAATAAAAAGTCTCATTAACTTCAGTGGGTACATTCTATCTAGGATTAACATTCCATATTCTCCAATGATTGCATAGTGTCTCTTGAGAACAAAGGATTGAGGAAATCAGCACAAAACCATCTAGCAAACCTAGAAATGATACTGTAGGAATCAATAGTTAGCCGTGCATCCTGCTCCAGTTCATCAGAAGTAAACTATAGTAGGTTCATTGAGAGCTACCTCTCTGTGGATATGAAGATTGTAGACTTATGTATTACTTAGGAGGAAACATGCGTAGAATTGTCAGACAACTTTGGCTCTGAGCTTTTCAGTCTTAGCCAGAAATATTATGTTTTGATGCCTAGAGACATGCTTTCTTTATACAATTAAATAAAATATTGCCTGATTTCAACTGAAGATAAAAGTGCTAAATATAATCTTAGGGCTTTCCTGCCATGTAATCAATGTATCTTGTCCACATTGCATGCATATTTTAGTACTTTGTAAGCACTACCATCCTCTTTGTTAGTATAGCTGCTACATGTCTTTTTTTGTTAAAATTCATGGTGGTAGTAGCAATCTTTTAAGTGTGATTACAAAGGTTGTTTTAATGTTTGCAACATCAGTTTTCTATATTAACCTATATTTCATTATTTTTTTAATTGTATACTTATTGCTCTTTTTTAGCTGTTCTTGTGTTTTAAGTATTGTGGGCCTCCTCAAGTCCCTTTATGGGAGAAAATGGCCAAGATATTAAATAAATAAATAAATAAATAAATATTATTTGCAAAAATTGTTCCTATCATTGGTGTTCTAACGAAAATTCAAATATCACTTTCTATCACTCAGCAGGTCCATTTCACAGTCTGGTTGCAGCTGACATTAATGTGGAGTTCTGCATTTCCCATGAAACCTGCCCAGCTACCTGTATTCCGAAGGAAGCCATTTATAGCTGCCTGGAATGCACCAACAGATCATTGCTCCATCAGATATAACATAACTATTAACCTGAAAATTTTCCATGTGACTGGAAGCCCATTTGCCAAGGCAAGAGGACAGAATGTCACAATATTTTATGTCAACAGGCTGGGATATTATCCATGGTATACGCAACAGGAAATCCCAGTTAATGGTGGCCTACCTCAAAATTTTAGCTTGCAAACACATCTGGAAAAAGCAGCCCAAGACATTAACTACTACATTCCTGATAAAGATTTCACAGGATTGGTTGTCATAGACTGGGAACATTGGAGGCCGCAATGGGACCGCAACTGGAGTACTAAAGATATTTACAGGAAACAGTCAAGAAAACTCATTTCTGAAATGCAAGAAAATATTTCAACAAATGCCATTGAACATTTAGCCAAACTTTCCTTTGAACAATGTGCTAAGGCTTTCATGAAGGAGACAATTGAGCTAGGGATTAAAAGTAGACCCAAGGGACTGTGGGGCTACTACTTATACCCTGACTGCCACAATTATAATTTTCATGACAAGAACTACACTGGCTCTTGCCCAGAAAGTGAAGTTCTGAGAAACAATGAACTGTCATGGCTGTGGAACAGCAGTGCCGCTCTATATCCATCCATTGGTATTAAGAAATCCCTTGGAAACAGTGAAAATATATTACATTTTTCACAATTTAGAGTGAATGAATCCATGAGGATTTCCTTGATGACATCACATGATTATGCTCTTCCAGTATTTGTATATACCCGACTGGACTATAGAGATGAGCCTTTGCTATTTCTTTCTACGGTAAGCTGCTTGGGGAATAAGAGCAACTGCAAAGGAACTCTGAAACGGGAGTAACTTGTTCATATTTTACCTCAGACAAGAAGTCATTAGATTGATTTAAGCAGATATCTCTAATCCTCAGCTGCCTATCTTTAATATGGATATAATAATACTTGCCTATCTGATAAGGCTTACTCTCTTATAAGACTTTTGTAAGGCTTCTTTGAAAATTCAGAAAAAACAATATCTAAGTGTTAAATATCGGTTAATGTCCAGAATCCTATTGTGTTTGTGCACCATATATATTAAAATGACAACTGGTGTGCATGATCATTTTCAATGTCTTTTGCATGCAAAGATATCCCTAAGATCCAGCTATGGCATTGACTGCATGCCTGGGTGCATGACAGCCAGCCAGAAAACTGCACAATTTCCCTTAAGCCTAAAATGGCTGAAATCCTGCTGCATGGGTATGTAAATGATATTCCTTCTAAAAGTTATGTCCTTTGCAACTGTATAACAGGTCTCAGGCATTTATTTTACAATGGCATTCACCAGCATTTCACATAATGGATGAAATCCTGTTGTGTAGTTATGCAAGCAGTGTAATTTTTAGATGTGAATTGCTGTAGTTAAGAAAGTTGCACGGTTCAGTATGCAACAGATTATGTCTACCATCATTTTTTTACTTATAACAATTTGCATCTGAAGGTTACGCTGCTTGCGTAACTGTGCAACAAGATTTTAGCAAGTGCTTCACAGTGCAATTCAATACATTTTTACTCAGAAGCAAGACCTCAATAGAACTTACTCCTGGGTAACTGGGTCATAGTCTTACTGTACTAACATCACTTCTATACAGCTTGCTGGGGAAAACAAACATATTTCTCATGTCATGTTTGTGGAAAAGGAGCACATTATTTATTTTTTAAAATGTATGTACCACTTTTAATTTTCACAAGAGCAGTTCACAGAATAAAATAACAGAATACTATAAAAACATTAAATAAGAAAATAAAATGGCATAACAACTCATTTACCATGACCAGGAGAAGGTGATCTTGTACATAGTTATGGAAATATCCAGGCAAAGGAATAAGTTTTTGAGTAGAAATATTCCACACTAGGAGCCTGCCTCATCTTCATGAGGAAACAATGCCACATGGTCTGTGACAAAATGGAGAAGGCTGTCCGCTCTACAACACAATCAACTGAGCATTAGTGAACTTTTATATAATAAGCAAAGTCCCCTCCACAGAGAATAATGCCTGGGCAACCTGCATGAAAAAAAGGTTCTCTAGCCTGAAATATAAGACTGAAGCCTTAGAAAATAAAGTAACAGACATGTGCACATCATTATTTATCTTAAAAACTGACTTCAGTAACATATTTTAGTTTTTTCCTCCCCCCACCCCAACTAGATTGTTCAAAGGCTTGGTTTTGAATCAGAGTTTTTTTAATGGAGATTTTTTCACTACCTTGCATTAACCAACAACAAGAATATATCACAGAACTTGGTTGACTAACTTTGAGATTATTCCAAGATATGGGGACCCATTTGGGGTGTTCCTTTATGCCCTGGGAGTAAAGGACATCTGCAGAAATTTTGTCTGTTGGAGAGAAACTTGCACAGTGTTGTGTTAGCATAATTTCTACATATAATTTGTGTGCAGCTAAGATGCAGTGTATCTGTTTGTGTATAAATGTAAGAAATAAATATAGAATGTAAGGGGCTGAGAACCCACCTTCTGCTCCTTCTACTAAGATGAGAAGCATTGCTGAATGTGAAAGTTATTCTTTAAGAAGAATGGTGATAATAACCTGCTGAAATCATCCATAACAATGGTAGGATAATCCTTTAGATGAGGACAAACATTACAATATTTAAAAAGTAATGAAACATGCTACATATTTTAAAACACTGGTTGGAAACCAGTACTGTAACTTATGCTGTGTAAGGATGTCATCATCCACATTTTTTTATTTATCCCAATTATCAGTCTTAAGACAATTGTTCTACCATTTAAAATATATACATTTTAATGTGCCATTGTTCGAATGTCGTAATTCTTTTTAAAATAATGTTTTATATGTGACGTTTATTTTATACCTGTACTTATGCTTTTTTAAAAAACATTTTGTGAACACAGCCTGGCTACCTTGGATAGATGGGTGGTGTAGAAATTAAATGAATAAATGAATGAATTTGTTGTGAGGAAGCTGTTGGGGGCTGCAGGACATGGGGAAAGTTTTTAATTTTTTAAAATCACAGCCAGCAGTAAAATAATTCCAGTGCTGGCATTTTTTGGAAATTAAAGATGAATTCCTCATGATGAACGGGATCCCAAGAGACCTTCAGAGTGGGGTGGGGTAATCAGAAATCATAAATTTCCAAGAAAACACTGTGCCTGATGCCGTCATCAGCCTTACATGGCATAACTTTGGCAACCAGATTTCAGCCAATAAAATGATGCAATAAATAAATGCTTTTTAAACAGTACATGGAGAATGGTGAAAAGCACATTTCCTATTAAAACCCCTTCCTTGGCAGCCAGTCATTTGCCAAAAGTCTGTCTAAATTAAAAGCTCCTAGCCTACCACTAGAAGGAGGGACCAACATGACTTCCCTTTATGTCATGAGTTCAGTCAAAAGAAGGCATGGAATCAGAGGGGTTAATTACAACTGAGGAAAATGCTGGGCAATTAGTATCAAAGACAGCTGAATCACCACCAGATTCTTCTCCCTCACTAGCCAGAGTGAGATATAAGCTTTGGTAGAGATTCACAACACAAGGTTTGAGGTTCACATGAATGCTTCTCACAGGAACATCAGGTTAACCAGTCCAGAGTTTTAACAGGATGGAATGTTTCTAGGAATTAGGTGATTGTTGCTGCTATATAATGTACCCAGAGGCTTGGAAGCAACACATCAATTCCCTGGCTTGTGTCCACACTCCTGCTTATCTTGAACCTTGCTCTCTTGACCCTTGGCTTTCAGACTCTGACTTCTGACTACAGTTTGTGTTTTGGCTTTGACAATTTGGACTGGCTTATTGGACTTTCACCAGCTGAATCCCCTAAGAACATGACACTTTAGAAGGAGTTCTACTATCTGGAAGAAGGCACTGGAAATGTTATCTTGTGTTCTCCTCAGCCCTGCCACGAAGATAGAAGGATTGATACAAAGGCTTCCTCTAAAGGGCCTTAGGTTGACAAGAATTTTTTTTATCTTGTTTAAATTAAGTTTAAATTCGTTATTCCTCATACAGCCCATTACAGACAGCAGGCAGAGACTTAGAACATGGGGGGGCCAGAAGGAGTGAGGAATTGAGTGTGGCTTTAAAAATTAAATAAATTAAAAACTTCCTCTATTATGTAGCAGATAAAATGGTTCTGTCAGGAACCTAGAAAGCAGACTGACATCACATCTCCCTCGGCAAACTACCCCTTATTTGTTAGTTTACTTCAACTGACACTTATTTTCCCAATCATTCACTCAGAGACTCTGGTAATGAGAAAGAATAACAATGTTTCTGTTTACTTACAGTTCTTCATATAGAAAAACAAACATCAAATTGTGTAAAAAATGTCAACTTGTTACATTGACTGAGCTTAACTGGTTAACTAGCTTCACTACTGACCAACTGACTGGTTACATAGCTGACAGAATTCTTCATTCTGTCTTCTTCTGACAGACTGAATATCTAACACTGGCAGTCAGTCACTGGAAAAGGGTGGGTGGGTGGAAATCTGAGATAGAGAATAAGAGCAGTAATCAGCTGATGCTGAGTTGACCGACAGCAACCTCAGTCCAGAAAAGGCCCTCCCAATTAAAAACTCCTTAAAATGTATCATATGCAGGTTGTAATATATCCAACACAATCATCCTGTAAAACAGTGCCTTTAAGACCCACTCCAGAGAGATAGCCTAGAAGGGCGCCACAGCTGATGATACTGAAATCTGCTGAGAAGCCCAGCAGAATGAACAGGGAGCCAATTCTCTTGTCTAATTCTTTGGGGAGATCATCCACCAAGGTGACCAAAGCCCTCTTCATCCAATAACCATGACAGTTCCTTTTGTATTTTATCCAATTATCATGCCTGAAGCCAGACTAGAATGAATCAAAATGATCTAGGAACCTTTGGAGCTCAGATATTACCATGTACTTCAATACCTTAGCCAAGAATCTAGTATTAGAGAGTGGCTGGAACTTGCTGGATTCCAGCTTGCTGGATTCAAAGAGGGGATTTTCAGCAATGGTATGCTGGAACTCTGCCTTGCTCCTGTAAGGAGGCAGTCACCACATCTATTATTCATGTGGCTAATGCCCCAGGCTACTTTTACGAGTTGGGAAGGGCGCGTGTAGTGGATCTCACTTCTCCAAGGGTTCAGTCCACATCCTTAAGCTGTACAAACTGGAAGTTATCCATTATCATGGGACAAAAAGTTGCCTAAGTTACATCCACAGATGTTGTGTCAGGTGCACCTTTCCAGTAAGAGTTGAGATGGACTATTGTGTGTGCAAAGCATTGTGCAAAATCTTCACAGTAGTCTGCATTCTGAATGGTCTGCATTCTGTTCTTGTGAGCCAGAGCATTACAGGTCTTTGACTACTCGAGACACCTTTGCTGGATTACTCTTTGCAGATGCAGTGCTAGCAGACAAGAATATTCTTTTTCACCGCTGCTGGCTCTTGCCCATGTTCTGTCCGATTTTTTCTGAATTTTCTCCCAATACTGCTGTAGTCTTGTAATCAGGTTCTCCTGAGGCCGGAGGCGGTCCCCTTGTTTGGGCGGGAATAAGAGTTGGAGGCGATTTTAAAGATTGAACAGAATCCTTTTTATTCTCAGTAACCACAACATCAATTAACTCAAACGGATCAAATGTGCTCAACTCCAGTAAAACCTTGTAACTATGAACCTTCACCTCGGGAGTAAATATATCGCTCCTCACATCAGGGCCGGACCAAAGCGCTCCTGATCTGTCATTGCCTGCAAGGGCATGCTCTGGACCGCGCAAACCGTTCCACAGCAAGGGTGTCTCGCCCAGTCCCCTTTGCGTGGTGGCAGATTGAAACAGGGACTGGGGCAAATCACCTTCCTCCCCCAACACTGGTTGCAGGGGTAGACCACTACTGTCCATTCTGTGGTTCAATTGTCGCTTTGCCCGGCTTGGCTATGGGTTAGGTTAGGGAACTCCTTTATCAACCTCTTGACCTCCTCTGCATCTCCCTCATCTCCCATCTGTATAGCCTTATCTCTCATGCATTTCGTGGTCCCATCCATTATGATTCTGAATTCCTGTGCCTCTTCTTCCTCCTTTAATCTCATCCCATACGATGAGGTCTAGCTCCTCCCCTTTATCATCAGCTAAGCACACTTCTAAAGTTTTCCTTTCCTCCCTCTCCTCTCTTTCTATCTCAACCAAAACTCCCTCCATGCATCCCTGGTTTTCCTTTGAGGTCTTTCGGTGAGGACGGCACACTAACATCTCCTCCTTCACAAGTCTCCATCCCACTCACTTCGTCACCAGCAGCTCCACAATAAACCAGGTGTCCAGTCTGGCTCCATTACATGGGAGGGGATGTTTAGGAACAAATGCCCTGCTCGTTTCTCCGTTCTGGAGATCGAGCAGGTCTAAGGCAACAGGAAGGTCTCTAGCACCGTGAGAAAGCCATTCAGATCATCACCTTCCTTAGGATGCCATCTTAATTGTCCCTGCTCCCTGAAGGGTCTCTGAGTTCCAAAGATTGTTAATGCCATCAAGTAATGACCTGTCCATGACAAGAGAGCTGCAGAAAGTTCCTCCATACCCAGACCACCATTGTTCTGCTTTTACAATAAAGCAGGTCCAGAGTATGCTCTGTAGCATTAATGGAGCCAAGTACAATTTGGGACAGACCTATAGGACAGATACTATTGGAGACAGATGTGAAATCCTGAACCACTTTTGACAGGGTGCTCTTGACATAAATGTTGAAGTTTTCCAGTGCAATAACCCAAGGTTATTTGAGCACCTTCCCTGACACGAGTTAGCTCTGGGAGAGGAACTCTTGTATACTAGGCAATAGAGCAAAGTAATTCTTATTCTTTCCTGGGCACCCGTCTTAAAGATATGCAAACTGCAGAGGGTGATGGAATGATGACAGACCACTGCAAATCTTCCTCCCTGACTCCAGATCTCGCCTGCTGCTGTTGCACAGAGAATTCAGGTGGAAAATTCTGAGAGACATTAATATGATCATCCTGGATCAAGTTAATGATTGTTGTTTCCTTGTTCACTGGCCTGGCATTTAACAGTAAGGTTGGTGGCCAATTGAGATGGCCTGTCCCAGGAGGCTGGTGGATCTAAATTGTTTCCTGATGGCACTGGGAAATGTCCTGTTGCACTGACAGGCAAACCTACTGAAGTACTGTCATATAAATTATGATAGAGTTTTTGTTGAAGATTGGGTTCCTGGTGGCTATTGTTTTCCTTTTCATGGATGTGGCAATCAGAAGCAGGTACTGTAAAGAGATATGATCTCACAATATAGAAATTTTATGGACAGAGGCTAGTATTCTATGGCTGATATATGCTTGTGGAAGAGAAATCACAAGTCATAGTAACAAATCGGTACCCACTAGTAAAGTGTTGGTTGCAATCCTCAGCATATGGCCGATGGCACTTTGTGAACTGCAAAGCTGGAAGGGACCTTATGGATCATTGAGTCCAGCCCCTGTCAAGGAGGCATAGTGGGGAATCGAAATCTCAGCCTCTGGCTCTGCAGCCAGATATCTAAACCACTGAGCTATATTTAATGTGATTTTTCTTACACAAGCATACACAAGCAATAGGATTCTCATCAGAGATGGAAGATGAAGTAAATATTGTTGACTACAGTGTTAGAGTTAATCAAAGACAATCCATTTACTGGAGCATTTCTCCTAGTTCTACAACTTAAATGATGAATAAGGCACAGAAAACTATCAGTGTAAATATTTATGAGGTGTATTATTTCTTCTGACGTGTACAGTGCTGGAAAAGAAAGAGCAATATAATATAATAATGGAGCTGGCAGCCTCTTAAACATCAGCTGATTTAAAAGAGGAATACAGTAGAACTCTACGTTGGACATGGATACCATCCCTAGCATCTCAGTGGTAGCTTAACTGACAGATAACAGGCTTGGTTCCTCATGTTCTTTAGCATTCACAATAGGAGCTTTTACCTAGGCATTTTCAACAATATAAACTGAGAAAAGAACTGCAGTATATGTATACACTGATATTGTTTTCCTATTTTCCTTTTAGCAAGACCTAATAAGCACAATTGGGGAAAGTGCTGCCTTGGGAGCTGCAGGAATTGTTATCTGGGGAGACATGAATTTAACTTCATCAGAGGTAAACAGATGCCTTGATTCTAACTCCAGACAATTGTCTAATGCCATAAACAGAATTTCCACTCTGTACAATTCAGATTCATTTTACTTACCTTTTAAATATGCTTTCATCTGACAAGTTGTTCTCAGGTAGCCTATGAAGGTTGTAGTGATATATCTGGTGTCCTCATGCTAGGGCTAGGATTTTATGCAGTTCAACTATATGACAATAAGAACCAGAAGCTGATTCTAGGGATTTGGATCTGCATTTTAGAATAACTGTTTTTTCCCCAGACTTCTGTGGGAAGAGATGCAGACTTCTGTCTGACTGAGTAGACATATGCTGTCAGTTCGCCTACAGTTTTCTCCTTTCTTGAAGTTTAAACTGGGTAGCTTGCTCAGCATTAAGACAATATGGAAATAGAAACCAAGAAAATATGTTAAATATTCATTCTTTTTCTCAAGAACAGGGAGAAAATTAAAGACTTTAAACAAAACTCTTAGCACTCATTCCTCAAATGATACATTCCAAGATTCTTCAGGACTAAATTGGTTTAAAGCTGACCTTTTCATTGCACATAAATATGGAAAGCTACCATTAATTTCAGATATGATAGAGAACCATGTGTAGTCCAGCCCTGAACTGTGCAGACATAGGTATCATGGTATAAAATGGTTGTATTTTTTTTTTTACAAGTTGGGCAGGGGGTGGAATTTCAGCAACTGCACTTTTGTCGTCCAGTGATGCTGCAGGGTGATAAAGGTATAATAAAGATAACAGAATGACATATAAATTACACATCACACAAGATATCGTCTGAGGATACAGTAATTTCAGCATAATCAGACCATTGGGGTGTTCTAAGGACCCCTTCCCCATAATTTCCTTAACAACAACAACAACAACAACAACCCATACTGTATGTGTGAGTCTCAGGGACCAGAAAGAAGAATGCAAGCTTCTGCATCAAGAGGGAATTTCACTACATGCAGTTTTTCTCACACTTGCATGACAGGTCTCACCTGTCAACAATCATTTTTCCAACTCAGGTGCTAAGGCTACAGAAGACCTGTTCTTCCTTCAGAGTGTCTATAGGTTTAACGCTAAATTGGTAGCAAAATGTCAAGATCTATGTTTAAAAACATTTTTCTAATTAAAACATTTATTTTGACTTTATGAGCTTGCATAATCTGTACATTGTTTTAAACCTAAATTACACTATCAGGTAATTCTGTATTTCCTGCTATCAGAATGTTTTTCCCCACCAGGCCTGCAACTCCTTCAAAGCACAATCAAATATGCAAATGAAGCTCATGTTCACCACCTGATGAGCAATCAGTTATTAATTTTCAACATGTGAGTGAACCAATGAAGTGACAGGATAAACAGATGACTTTCACCTTTAAAGAAACTCTGCTTCAATTGACATGCTAACCGTATTGTCATATTTGAGCCTTAATAATAATAATAATTCCAAATTCCCTTCCCAGGGTTTTCTAGTTATAGAATACCCAGATGTGTTTTATCATTCTCATCTGTTGGGGGTGCATTGGGACTGTGCAGCTTGCTGCACACCATCAAATTGATTCCAACTTATGGTGACCCTATCCAGGGTTTTCTAGTTAGAGAATACTCAGAAATGTTTTATCATTCACATCTATTGGGGGTGCATTGGGACTGTGCAGCTTGCTCATGACAACATAGACTTCATGTTTCTTAAAAAGGATGGCATCAGTGACAACATACGCTTCATGTTTCTTAAAAAGGATGGCATCAGCAATGATTTCACAATCTGTAATGCTTTATTTCCCTTCCTGCTTTTTCTAGGTCAACTGCACAAAGGTGAAACGATTCATTGCTTCTGAGTTAGGTTCCTATATCATAAATGTAACCAAAGCAGCAGAAGTGTGCAGCCGGCATTTGTGCCAGAACAACGGGCGGTGCATACGAAAGAACTGGAAAGCCTTGGACTACCTTCATTTAAATCCCCATAACTTTCAAATAGAAGTCTCAGAAGACCAGAGATTTACTGTGAAAGGGGAAGCGTCACAGACTGACCTTCAAATAATGGCAGAGAAGTTCACCTGCCATTGTTATCAAGGGTTTGAAGGTGTGGATTGTAGAGAAGTTACAGTGCTAGGACATTCTGCCAACGTTGTCTCATCTGCACTGATAGTTATCATCAGCTTGGTTTCCTTGATATTTATAATCACTGAGATATCTGCTCTGATAGTCATAGAGTACTGAGTCACTTCAGGTACTACTGTGTAGATGTCGCTTCATCAAAAGATTGAATTAATTTAAAAGCCAATACATGCAGTCAATTATGACTTACAGTGACCCTTTCCAGGGCTTTCCAGGTGGAAGGTACTCTGAAATGGTATATCATCACCTTCTTCTGGGGGCACCCTGGGGCTGTACAGCTTTGCCCAAGGCCATGCAGGCTAACTCTGTTGGCAGGAGGCAAAGTGGGGAACTGAACTCCCAACCTCTGGCTCCACTGGGCCTAAACCACGGGGCTATTCAGCCAGCTCACATACATTCTTACTCCCAAGTACATATGTGTAGGATCTTATCCCTTAACAAGGGATACAGACAAAGGTACACAGACAAAGTTTGGCTCTCAGAGGGCATTGTCTACTGAAGGCATTTTAGAATAGTTCAAAGAAAGCTGCTAGTAGTTGCTTTTGCCTGGTGGCTTCAAACAGATGTGTTTTCAGAGAGGGAGATGTGTTCACTGGATCTCATCTTCCATCCTGTATTGGGCATATAGTGTAGTGGCCCAGAGGCATGTCTGCAATCCCATGCCCAATGTCCCCAGCTGTTCCAGCCTGACCCCCTTTGATCCCAAATCTCGTGCACTGAGTGCAAATTTTAAAGATGGGTTATAATTACGTTCAGGTAAGTATACTTAAAACCTTCCCCAGAGCCAGGCACCTCAGTAATGTCTCTGTGGAATGTGCTTAGAATCCTCCTTTGAGCCAGAATCCTCTGGAGAATGCCAGAAATATCCCATGTCCTCACACCAAACTTCTGAGTCGGCCTTGTATAAGCAATAATACACCATCTAAGCAATGCCAGATGGTGTATTATTGTGGACAGAGTGGTAAGAGTGCAGGAGCTCAAGACAAGGATACTGCACCGTAGGTTTGAGGAGGAGTAACAACTTCATTTGAACGGGAAGCATCCACATTTTTGTTACAGCTGAAGGCACCCTTGGCATGTGCATGGGAGATGGCCACATCACTGCCTGTCTTGACTGTCATTAAATCCCACTCCTCAGCCTGCTTGCTGAGGGGGACCCAGGGATGACTATGGGGGAAAGCACATGGATGCAAGCCAGTATACAGTATTACCCTTCCTGTTGCCTGGGAGTGAAGTGCTTTCCCTTCATAAGCTAGTTATGTACCTTCATCTTTCACCCCCACAATCTTTTCAGGAGATCACCACTAGCGGAAGGTACCTCAGTCTGTTATCTCCCTGTCCGTGACAACTAGATCCATCCCCATGCTGACACCCACAGAAGTTGTGAAGAAGGAAAACTGATCTTTCATTTTACTATATTATGATTTATAGCAAAATACAAGCAATTATCCCCATGTTTCAGTTGTACACGTTTAACCATTTATTCAATGAGGACAAGTAAGAAACACAAACCAAGTTTGGACTCACTGCTCTGACATTACAGTGCTTGCTTTTCTACCCAGAAAGTGAACCAGAGTGAAGACTATTGCCCTTAGGTCTGCCCCAGCTAGGCCCACCCCCTCTGTTCTTGATTGGCTTAGGAGCCTGCTGTAGCCTTCAATCAGATACAGGCCTGTGAAGCATGCAAGGGCTCCTGGGAGCTACACAGGCCAAGATGGCAGCTGTCATCTCTCCCTTCTGCTAGGCAGCAGAGAAGGCCAGTGGTATGGTCTCTCCAGATGTGCTTGCAGGAAAATATATCAGCCCTAAAATATTTGGATATTGCAACTATGTCTGTTTCTGAAAATGAGCATTTTTTCCTGTTGTGATCAACATTTGCCCCAGTTCTTCATGTAACTAGAAAGACCCTTATTGACTGTGAGATAAATATTGATCTAATAAAGAGGGGGAAAATGAATATTGTTATTATGACTTAGTAAAAGTATTAGGAATATTTCTGCCTTTCATGATGGAGTGAGGCCTTTTAGACTTTTAGGATATGAAACCTCCATAAATTAATTCTGCATGATATAGTCAGTCTAATTGGTGAGTGAATAATTTAAAGCTTAATTTTGACATAATTTTATATTTTTTGATCATATGTAAGCTTCAGTATTGACTAATGCAGTTAATAAACTATATGCAATACAGCATAATTATTAAGGCAGCATAAAAAAGAATTAACAACATTTCTCTTAATTAGTGATGCATTTTTGTTGGCAAATAAGTATTAACACATTTAAATACAGTACTGTATTTTGATTGTTCAGTGAAAGTCAGTGTGTATAACAATTAGCATATTTGGATAACCAGTTCAGGTCCTCACTGGTCCATGAAATTGTCTGGATGACTTGAGCCAGTAATTCTCTCTAAGCCTGGCCTACCTCATCAGACTGCTGTGAAGGTAAATCATGGACAAAGAGAGCCATATATAACAGTCTGAGCTCATTGGTAAATTAGGACATAAATCAGTGCTTCCCAACCTGGGGGTCACAAAAAATTTTTTGCGGGGCTGCGGGTCACCTTATATAACCTTTGTTAAATAATTTGTTCCTTGAGTTTTCAGAGTCAGATGTTAAAGTTAGCCTGTATGTGTATGAATGAGAAACAGGCCCTTTGGGGGAGAATGAAGCCTCTACTTTTCAAGAAAGGATAACATTTTAGGCAAAAATGGCAGGGGTGGGCACAGATTGTTTGACTATTATAAAAAGGGGTTGTGTCTCGAAAAATGTTGGGAATCAGTGACATAAATAAATACTGGGAATGTTTCACATGACAAAATCTCAAACATGAAAAAGAAATTCTATGCAAAAGAAGGGGGAAGGTAGGTATATAAAAGGTACAGTATAATTACAGGCATGCTTTTCTGTTCTTAAAAAAGCAGCGACAAAGCTGTTTAGTGATCATGTTCTTATTCAATGGGTTTAGTTCCAGGGCCTGCAGTCAGAAGATTTCCAGGGTGTATGGTAAACCAGGTGCAGGAGATTTACAGTGGAGCCTCGACTTATGAACGTCCCAACATACGACCATTTCGAGTTATGACCAGCTCTGGCCACAAAATTTTGCTTCTACTTGCAACCAGAGCTTCGAGTTACAACCAGAAAAAGGCAGGGGAAAAAGGCGGAGAATTCAAATTGCTAACCGTTGGTGGCAAAGAGGCTGCTTCTTTGTAGCTGTTTTGCACTAGCAGTTAGAGAGTGTGGGATTGGAGGAGGCTTTGGACTGCCTGTGAAGGTGCTGCTTTCTACTTTTAAAAAACTGTTTTGGGTGGGCTTTGCAGTGTGGTTTTGGGCTGGGTGGTGGGATTATGTTTATGCTGTGATGGGTCTTGCAGGGTTTGTTTTTTAGTGTCTCCCCTCCATTTCTGATGGGTCTTGCAGGGTTTGTTTGCTTTCTGGTTTGCTTTTTTTTCATGTCCGAAAGGTCTTGCACAGTTTGTTTGCTTTCTGCTTTGCTTTTTTTGCATTTCTGAAGGGTCTTGCACAATTTGTTTGCTTTTTTTTCTTCCTTCAGCCAGAACAGATTGATTGTGTTTCCAATCGGTCTTGCATGGTTTGTTTGCTTTTTTTCTTTTTCTTTTTCTTTTTTTTCTTTTTGCATTTCTGAGGGGTCTTGCATGGTTTGTTTGCTTTGCTTTGCTTTTTCCCCCAGTTTGGCCAGAACGGATTAATAACGTTTCCGATGGGTCTTGCAGTGTTGGGTTTTTTTTGGTGATTTTTTTCCTTCAGCTGGAAGAGATTAATTGCATTTCAATGCATTCCTATGGGAAATGGTGCTTTGACTTATGATCATTCTGACTGGAGTTCGGAACCAATTAAGTTCGTAGGTCAAGGCACCACTGTAATATCAGAGTCCAAAATAGTCCAGGTACAATGTAACAAAACAAAGAGATCCAAAGGTATAATCCAGCAGTCCAAAAGTCAAGAAGATACAAACCACACAAGATTAGAAATAGAGATGGTCATGAACCAGCAAAATGGATGTTTGTTGTGGTTTCTAGCTCAGTGAAGTCCACAAACTACAAACTTCCTACATCTTTTGGAAAAAATGAATCACAAATTAGTTCATTTTTGGTTTAGAAGTTCAGAAACCTTAGAATGGCCCTCAGCCACTTAGAGATACCAAAATCGCAGGGAAGCTTTCCCTGACTTTCCTCTACACCCCTTCCAAGTTTGGTTATTTTAAACATCGGAGTTAAATACCCTCAAAGCAGGTCATCCCAGGAAAGGGTCCTTTAGCAGCTGGCTTGGGGGAAATTCCAGCAGTGGTTCCTGCCAGGGAACCCCACAAAGGGTGTTGCTTATCAGGAGGTGGACTGGAGAGGGACAACACCCTTGCCCCAAACTCCATGGACAGTGCCAAGCTAGATGTCTGAGCGGAGGTACAGAGGTTATTGTGCGGCATGGGGAATGGGGGGAGACAGGCTGCCTGACAAGGGCAGCAACATGCCATTGGAGATCTGAGCTATCTAAACTGGTTCTAAGGGTTCCTCTGACTAGCTGAAGTAGCTTTCAAGTGAAAATGCCTCCTGTGAATTGGTCTTATAAATAAGAATCAGCAACTCCCCCAGAGCCTTTTGAGCCATACATTTGGCTCCCTGACCTGCCAATCGAGTAGTCTCTAGGTCTCTCCCAGGGTTGCCTAGTGCTTCTGATTAACTGGTGCAGGCTGTCAGGGCCAAGGGGGGAGAAAATGGGCAAATAAACCAAATGGACCAAAAATAGCTTAAAACGTTTGTTGGTCCAGTTTGTTTTGGTTCATCGTTTTTGAACTAAAAACCAGTGATTTTTTTAAATGAACTTGTGGTTCATTTTTTGGGTTCCTGATCTCTAATCAGGAATCAAACGGAACAATATCTTCCATGCAAACAAAGACCCAAGCTGTGGTTAATATAGCTTGGCTGCAGGCATTTGGCCCACTGGTGGGACAGCACAGCTGCAGAATTTGGCCTTCTGGAGGCTTTCTTTCAAGGAGGCCTTCTACTTTTCAAGAGGGCCTTTCTCCCAAAGAGACTATCCCTTCAGTCAAATAGATCTTGCATCTTCTCTCCGTATTTGTATCTT